ATTCTTAGACAAGAACATACTGGAATGTGATAATAATATTAGGCAGGACATTTTAGGCTGGGCACTGTTTTCTAATGCAGATCCTGGTTCAGACACTTGCCAGGGGGGCTTACCATGGCATTCTTAAAGTCAGTTATGTGAAGAAGTGAATTCGCCTCTCTCCCAGAGGATGTGGGTGGTTGAAACAATGCCGTTGTTTAGTGCACAACACTTGATTTTCAAACCTTTCTGTAACTGCATGTCAGACCATACAAATCCTGATAGAGGAGTCAATAGTGTGTGAGTGTGTATGTGTGTGTGCTGGCGGATGGTGGGGGCAAGCGGCTCAGCTGACAAGTAAATTATTGATTAAACACTGGCCAGAGAAGCATGTGCATTTGGCATACACATTGCATCTGTGATGATGTGACCTCCACTCGACCTAATTTCCTTTTCTCTTCAGCCCAGTTTTTGAAACACTGCCATTCTTTTTTCCCCACCCCCTTCTGAACCTCCTGCAGTCTGGTTTTCTTCCCCCTTTTCCTACCAAAACAGCTCATATCAAGACAACCAGTTATCTCTCTTGCACCACAGTCTGCGTTCAGGAGCAGCATTAACTAATCTGCACACAGCATTGATGCGCATGCCTACTTCCTGTGTGAAATCCCTTGTCTGTCTTCTGGTTGGGGTTCCCTCTCTACATCTTTTTAGTCTCCTTTCCAAGTTTCTCCTGTTCTAACAGACTGTTTGGGGCTGGAATTCCCTCAGGTTCATCTCACTTTTGTGCTCTATACTCTTCTTGGTGGTCTCACCCATTCACCTGCCTCCACCCTGACTTGTCTCTTAGCTGCAGGATCACATGCCCAGCTGCCAGCCTGGCCACTCCAGCTTAACTGTCCCAACACTGGGCAGTGAAGGCAGAGCTCACACAGCACTCCAAAAGCTGGATCTTGGTACTTTCCAATTGGGCTGGACCTAATCACGCCACCTCTCTCTGTTCTCTCATCTTATTGATGGAACATAGAACATAAATCTAAGCAACAGAATCCAACAAGTTAGTTTTAGAAGAGACAAATACACTGATAAATCCCTTTCAAGATAAAACTTATTACCAAATATTATTTCATTTTAAATAAGAAGCTCTGGCTAGTTCACATATGGGGAAAATAGGTGTTTTAGAAAAGATGAAACCAGACTACCATCATCTGACAATAATTTAGTGTTCTATATTGTCAACCAAGGTTTACTGTTAGTTTGACTATCTCAGAACTTTTGATTTGCTTCATTAAACCCATTTTCCCCTTCTGAGTTATTTCACTCGGCATCACTGGCTCCACCTCCACCCATGCAGCTGAAAGTGACTCGAGTTTACCCTTTTTGATAGCTGTGTGGTATTCCACCATGTTTATGTACCACATCTCACTGATCTACTCGTATGGATGAGGGCTTTGAGAGACTAGCAGGGCAGCCTATTGTGTTAACCAGAGAAGGGCCTTTTTTTTTTTAATATTTATTTATTCGTACAGAACTGGGGTATAGGCCAGAGATACGGAGGGTGAGAGGCTTCACCAGAGACAGAGTGGGGTATAGAACAGGCAGATCGATGAAGTACACTGCTGAGGGGAGCAGCGGGCGGGTCAGGAGAGGTCTGCCGCGCCATGTGGATCTCCTCCGGGGCAGGCGGGGATCGAACTCATGAGGAAGTGGCTTAAGCTTCTTTGTGCTGTGCTTTAACCCTCTGCGCCACCAGGGAGGGCCCGAAGGGCCTTCTTTTTTATTAACACATTGTATTTCTTTCCAAGTACAGATGTAGTGGGTCTAAAAAGTGCATCTAGTCCTTTTGGTTGATCTCACTTTCAGAGGATTTCTGTCTCTGTGATAATTTTGAGCAGCATGTCTAATATATGAAATGATCTTCTCCCTATGGGATGACATAGGTAGTAGTAAGTTGACAAGAATGATAAACTGGGAAATGGTACTTTAAGGGAAAAAAGACAATTTTATTGTAAAGGCAGACAAGGCGTCTGTGCTTGTGCAAGGGATCTGGAGACCTTTCCTTAGCAAGGGGAGAAGGGTGTTTCTGTGAAAATCGCAATTGAATATATTCCTATGAGAAGTAACCTTACAGTGATTCTAGCAGAACCCTGAATAACCCTGCTGTAGAATTTCATTTGCTTTTATCTTTTCCCAGAGGATAAGAATACCCTCCCAGAGCTCCAATATTATTGAATTGAATTTGGATTTTTCCCAATTAAAAGGATGTGAGATGACATTTTCTTTCCTCTGGTAGGAAAAAAGTCTCTTGATGGTTTACCAAACAGATATCTCAGTAACGGGCCATCCTGACGAGTCACACCTACTTCCCGCTCTGTCATCTGGATTGATGTTTAGATTATGAAAGCAAACCCTTTTAGCACATTTACACTAAAGAAGAACTGGAGAAGCCTGGGCTGAGTCAGCATTACTGAACAGCTCCGGTGCACCTGCCAGTTACACTGTAGTCTTCTCGCCTCTTCTTGCCTTGTTTCTCATTCAAATAGTGGTCGTGGGCCAGGTTCAAGCAGAAACTCTGGGGCTGGCATTTAATAGCGATCTTGTTCTTTTTCCTTTTGCCCAGTTGCTGGCAGCCAGGCGGGGAGGGCGTCTGGGTTAAAACCATAACAAATGAAACTTCCATTAGGCTCTGTGGGGTGGGGCCATTTCCTGTAAAGACCAGCTCCATCCGTTGGTGGTTTGAAGAAGCAGAGTGCTCATGTTCGTTCGATAAATGAAAGCTGATGTTCACTGGCTCGGGCAGCTCAGGTGTTAGTTGGGGGAGCCTTCTAGGCTGCTGGTTCACAGAACTCAGGTTGCGTTTTAACTGCAGCATTTAGAGGTTTCTGATCTGGCAAAAATCTATACACTTATATCGTGGTGGAACATAGGTTAAATATGCCTATTTTTTTTGATTTATTTATTTATGCATACACAACTGAGGTACAGTCCAGAGGTGCAGGGACAGTGAGAAGCTTCACCAGAGACAGAGTGGGGAACAGAACAGGCAGATAGACAAAGCACACTGCTGTGGGGAGCAGTGGGTGAGACAGGAGAGGTCTGCTGTGCCCTGTGGGTCGCTCCTTGGCCAGCGATTGAACATGTGCTGAAGCAGATTCTGTCAGCTTTAAGTGATGCGCTTTAACCTGTTGTGCTACCAGGGAGAGCCTATTTTTAACAGATACACCTATTTTTAAATATCCTCTGAGTTGAAGAAAACACAGTGTATTTTGACACTCGGGTAGTTGGACTTAGTGGACCAGCCCCTCTTAAAATTTTACTTTTCCTTAGATTTAGTCCTTCTTTAGTTTTCTTTATACTGAAGAATGCGTTGTTGATGGTGAGGTGATGTTTAGCGAGTGTAAAACCTGCAGTTCAATAGTGAATGACTTCATGCCCACTTCTGAGAATGCTCTTTTCCCGGGCACGTCTTTTTGTGTTTTTGTGCTTATAGTCCTGTACTGCTCGGCATGTGGATGAATTATGACCAATATGCTTTTGTAAAACTTATTAAAATAATTTTTCCCAGTGGACAGATATGAAACATGGGTAAAATGCCTGGGAAGTTAGTTGAGGTCCCTGAAAAGCAAACTCAGCACGAGGATTAGGGACGACTTCCAGAACTGAGGCGCCATGACAGCGGAGTCGCACGTCTGTGACTCACCTTCTGGCCCACACCCTCTGGCCCGCAAAGGCTAAAAATGTTTACTAACTGCCCCGTATAGAAACTTTGCAAACTTGGTTGAGGGTGAGACAAAGACACTCTATGGCTTGGGTGGAGAATCTTGTGCACACTGGTTAAAGATGCTCTGGTAAGTGTCTTTAACACTGCTTTTTCTAGACAGGAAATAAGGTCGTAGTTTTTGTTTCCCCCAAGCTTTATGGAGATCTAATTGAAAAATGTAAATTGCATGTAAGGTGCATGGCACGATTTAATGCACCTATACTTTATGAAATAATGGCCCCAGCCAAGTTAATCAATACCTCCATCACCACACTGGGTGCCCATTTCTGTGTCTGGATGTGGTGAGACGACTTACGATCTCCCCTTAGCAATGTCAAGGGCTGTTATAAAAAAGACGAAGGTGAATATTGACCAGGATGTGAAAAAAGAGAAAGCTGTGGTCATCCATACAGACAGCCCTCAAAAGCTTAAAACTAGAACGACCCTAGCCCTGGCAATTCCGCTTCTGGATTTATTCCCAAAGGAAATCGGTGTTTCTAGTCCCGGCCAGTGTTCACCTAGCATTGGTCACAGTACCGAGAGACAGACACAACCAAGGTGACCACTGAGAGCTACATAGATAAAGAAAATGTGGAGCAATACAAATGCAATGGAATATTATTTAGCCACAAAAAGGGGAAATTCTGCCATTTGCAGCATCAGTGCTGGAGGACGTTCCATGGACTGAAATAAGCCAACCACTGAAACCAGGCTCCTGAGGAAAAACTTGTGTGTCAACCTCATAGTGCCATTCATTGCTTTAACTTTTCTGTAATTACTGATAAAAGCTGTTTTTTTTTTTAAAGAATTATTTATTTGTGCATACAAGGCTGGGGTGCAGGCCAGCGGTGGGGGTGCATGAGAGGATTCACTAGAGACCGAATGGGGAGCAGAGCAGGCGGATCTACTGAAATATGGGGTTGAGGGGAGCAGCAGGGAGACAGGAGCGGTCTGCTGTGCCCTGTGGGCCACTCCCTGGCCGGGGATGGAACTTGTGCTGCAGGGGCTGCCGATGGCTTCATAGTGCTGAGTTTCAACCCCTTTTGTCACCAGAAAGGGGACCCTACTCTGATAAAAACCTTAAAGATTCAGTTCCCTAAAAAATGGTTTTCCTGATACATGCAGCTGTTACTCATCAAATGTTTCCATCTTGAGCACTTCGTCGAAAGTGTAAGATTTCTGAGCCATGTTTCCCCAATTCGATGGGCCCTAAAACTGCTGAGAAAGTTCACGTTCCTTCTCTTAAATCCTGTTTTCCAGGAGCCTCTGAAGCTTTCCGCAGAGCCCACTCTTGCTGAGTGCCCCTTGGGTCTTCATGCGGCCATGGATCTGGATAAACCATCGGTCTGGGGCTCCCTGAAACAGCGGACCAGGCCTCTGTTGATCAACCTGAGCAAGAAGAAGGGGAAGAAGAACCCCAACAAGCCCCTGGACTTACGGGCGAGGCACCACCTGGATCGCCGCCTCAGCCTCTCTGTCCCCGACCTCCTGGAGGCCCAGGCCTTGGTGGCCCAGGGCCGGCCCTACGTGGGGCCTCAGTCGTCCTACACCTCCGTGCCCAGCAGCCTGTCCTCTGCCGGGATCCTTCCCAAGAGCAGCAGCAGCAGCTTGAAGCAGTCTGAGGAAGAGCTGGACTGGAGCCAGGAAGAAGCAGGCCACATCCCGGTGCTGGAGGCGGACAGGGAGGAGCCCGCGGTGTCTCCTGCTGAGGACCGGAGGGGCTCTGGCAGCGGCTTCTTTGATCTGCTCCAGAAAACTCCTCTGGGAGAAGATGCCGCAGAGGAGCCGGAGGTGAGCGGGGCCAGACACATCCCTATTTCTTGTGTTCCCTCCCCGCCCACCCCCTTTTATAAGGGCATTTGGTGTCCTTGGGAAATTTTGGTTATTTTTGTGGCTAGTAGAGGGAGAGATGTCATTTACGAGAATTTAAATGAAGGGAGTATCGATCGCACCCGGAGTCCCTGTTAGTTTTAGGATTGACCTCTATGTATTTTGAAACTATTACAAATTACCTTTCTAAGACACTGTAAGGCATTAAGAGCCCACTTGGATGAGTTTTGTTTTTTCTGTCTCCTGGCAAAGAAATGAAGAGTCCATTTTTTCTTCTCACTTTTTGCTTAAGTGTGTGACTGTTTCTCTCCTGCACCGCTGCCCAGCCCCACTCAGACACCCGAGTGCATCACACTGTTCTTCAGCAATGTGTGAAGGTGTCGCCCTTTGACTGCCAGAGACGCCACGCTCCCTCCTGCCAAACAAGTGTGTGCATGTTTACGTGGGAGCATTCTCTTGGATTCTCTTCATAAAAAGTCCCCAGTTTATTTTTAGATTTATTTATTGATGCATACAAGAACTGGGGTGTGGGCCAGAGATGTGGGACTGAGAGGACTCCCCAGAGACAGAGTGGGGAGCAGAACAGGCAGATCCGAGGTGAGGAGCGGGGAGAGGAGGGGTCTGCTGCGCCCTGTGGGTGACTCCCTGGCTGGGGATCGAACTCAGGTTGCAGCAGCTGTGGGTCAGTAGCTTCCTAGTGCTGAGACTTAACTCCTTGTGCCACCAGGGAGGCCCAAAAGTCCCCATATTTCCCCCCAAATTACAAGACGCAAATTCTTATCAGTTTAGTGATTCTACAGTCTTCCAATAAAATAGTCGAATATGGTTATGAGATAAACATTACAATTCTACAGTGAGTTTAAATTGATTTCACCAAATCATGATTTGGTGAAAAAAAATTAAAATTGTCCTTTAAAATTTCTCCATCAACCATGCTGAAGTAGGTTACAATGTTGAAGGAAGAATAATTTTTGACATTTCAGGTTATTGTTATGATTCCATAAGGCATTGGTTATTCAACTGGGATTTTGAAGTTGCTTTTAGAACCAAAGCATGCGAGATAGGTCATAGATGTGGATTTCACTGGGGAGCAGAGTTTGGAGGGTGCTGTGACCCTGTAATTTTGGAAGCTTTGCGATGATGAGACACCACTAATCACTAAATAACCTTTCTTAACTACTTTTTCCACTGCCGTTAGTGTTTATGAAATCCCTCTCATAAAACTATGACTTTTCCCCTATTACTTTAAATTCAGCATAAGTGTTTCTACTGATCATATTGTTAACTAAGTGAAATTTTACACCAGTTTACTATAACGCCATTATACGCTTCAGTTGATCTTTACTTCTTGTTACCTAGTAAGTGACCAGGAAAAATGGGTTGGACTCTCAGATTAAAAGTGTTAACAATCTCGAATTAGAAGAGTTTCTCTTAAGTTGATGGGGTGAAAGCTGTTGTAGTATTTCTGCAATCTTTGTTGTAAACAAAGTCCCGAATGCTGCTTTAACTCAGGCATCACTGTGACCTGCCTTCGAGTTCCCACCTGTTGGGAGGCACCGAACGGTCTGTGTGAAACACCCAGAGCAGCTGGGTGAGATCAGTGTAGGCCCCAGGGCGTGTCCTGTGCGAGACAGATGCCAGGGTGGCACCGAGGAGGTGTAGGGCTGGACAGGTGAGGAAACATGGTGAAAGGCGCCTGCAGATGGGGACAGGGGCTGGAGCTGGGGCTGGGGGCATTTTGCTCTGCCGGGAACTGAGCCCTGGGGAGCTTTCTGGCATGCTGTCTGAGAAGTGGGCTGTGCTGAGGGGCTGGTGGGTGATGGGGTGTGACTGATTGGCAGGAGGATGGTTGGTAGTGGTAATGTCACTCCCCTGATTAAATGCAGAAAAGCCCAGAAACAGCAGAGCCATTTAAGAATAGTCAAAACAAAACCAAGTTCTTAGGTTACAAGAACAAATGACAGTCACCAGAAGGGAAGGGGTGTGGTGCCAGCTTGGGTTAAGGGGGTTCACCGCATGGTGGCGGGTGGAAAAGAGGATTTCCAGGGGGACCCTCACTAGCACATGCCGTCGGACTCTGCGGCCTGGTGCTGCACAGTGTCACGCAGCAGCCTGTCAACTTAGTAAGTGAAATGAGCCAAGGAGGGTAGGTTTTCCCGGGGAATTTGACTTTCTCTTTCAACGAAGCTGTTTTTTTAAATTCTTTCTTGAAAAACAATCTTGTTTCTTTTTCCTGTCTGAAGGAGAATTGATGGAGTCTAAGCGGGAAGTGGCCACTTGAGTGCACGTATTTGCTTGGTGGCCTGTTTGTGGAGGATGGAGGGACTGGACAGCCGCTCCCCACACCCCCTGGACCCCGGGAGGTCAAGTGCATTGCTCTGCCCACCCAGAGTCCACACTTTACCCCGCTTCCTTGTCTGTGCATAGCTTCGCCTTTTCTTCTGACTGGCGCTTGTCTCGTCAGTTGTATGTTATCACTTGCCGGCAGGCCAGTATTTGATCACCGTTACCTGCAAACCAGGTTGTCTCCTTTGGGTTGGCTCCAGGTGGGTGACAGGGGGTGTTTCCTTACTCTCATTGCTCTCACCACCAAGACTTGGGGCGTAGGAGGTAGAAAGGGTACTTGACACTGTGGCCAAACATGACCCCCATCTTGAGCTTAGAAGTTGGATTCGCTTGTGAGAATGAGGCTCTTGAAGCACACAGATGGTTGACAGCTTTGTTTCCTTCTACCAGCCTTTCTGGTGATTGTCAAATATATTGACTCACATTGTCTCTGCAATTGACTTTCAAGCCATAGACCTCTGTCAGGTGCTGGGTGGGAGGGGGCATTAGAAATTCAGCTGGGTTGGTGGGGGGGTGGACCACAGAGCTCTGGGTGGGCAGGGAGTTCCCAAATATCAGATTAAGTATGAAGACGCTAAAGTTAAGCAGACTCAGAGAAAGTAGCTGGTTTTCTTATTTCCTTTTATAGATAATATTCTTAAAAAAATTTATTGTTCTATCATTAGACTTCTTTCCTCTTTATCTTGCCTTCTTTTCCTACTTCCTTCCCTAATGAGCATTCTCTACTCTTTCCTTCCCCCAGTAGCTCTAAGAAACTTTCACCTACCTTACAAAGTTGGGTAAGTATTGAGAAAATACAGAAGTTCGCCTCCGGTTCCTGTTCTGACTGCTGATGATAGAATTGAGATTAGATCCAGGCCTGATGATAGAATTGAGATTAGACCCAGGCAATGGAAAAAGTGGTCCACAGATGGAGTCATTGTTGAGTCAGCCCGATGCCTGGTGGGGAGGGGGGTGCTTGCTGTGAATAGGTAGTCAGCAGAGACCTGGGGAGGACACATCGTGAGGACATGGATGGGTGGGGAGTAAGCTCAGTAGTTAAGTTTCCCATTTGGGAGGTGAGTGTGGTTGTGAGTGAGCCAATGGCCATGCCAGGCCCCACCGAGGACACACTGATGTGACCCTGGACGCACTTGCTAGTGTTGTTGTGATGACTTTTGCCATTACGTGTTCAGAATGAAATCGAGGCACAGGGAAGTTGAAGGCCGCCCAGCTAGTGACGCTATAACCAAGCAGGAGCATCTACCAAACTGCACAGCAGTAGTTTGGGGATGCAGGACTTTGGAGGTACAACCCTGTGCTTGGACAGTATCAGAGCTGGTGATCATAGGCTGTTCTCAAAGAATGACACGCATTTTCCTGTGTCCATTCTCATTCCGTTTAAATGCAGATATAATTATGGTAGTCAAGTGGCCTGATTATCATGGTTAATAACTACGTACCCCGAATGGGAAGATTATTTCCCCCGATCATCGAGTGGCCCCACAATGGGGCGCATGGGGCAGCCGTCCATCTCTGTCATTTCATTTGACAGTTGAAGTTTTAAACAACCAGCTTTGCTGCTGCTGATGTGGACAAGTTGAGTGGTTTAGAGAAGTACCCTACTGGGATATTTCCAGAAACTCCACTTGGCAACCACAGAGCATCAGTTTAGTAACCACAGAGAAATGACAAAACACAAAGGAAGGGAAAGAACGTGCAACTTGTGAAATTGAGAAAATGCTCTATTCTCTGAATACCAGCTACCTGTCCAGAAAACTTTTATTTGATCTTGAAAATTATAACCCAACAACATGATGTCAGCGAGGCAGACCCAATGTGGGCGTGGCCTCTTGTTCTCCCTCCCTCGCTGCTTCCCCAGCTGTTGAGCACCTAGTGATACTATCTACTGGTTACTTCTGTGTACTGGTGCTGATGCCGTTCTAGGCAGAAGGACATGGCAGTCAACATAGAGGACAAAACTCTGTTTCCTCATGGAGTTCCTTTTTGAACGAATGTGACAGGCCATAGATCTATCCAGAACATGACAAGTCACTGAGCACAGTAAAGCCGAGGAAACCTTGGGAGTGCAGGGTGGAGGTGCTCTCCTTGGGAACAGAATGGCCAGGAAGGGGCTTCTCTGGGATTCTGATGGGTTGGCCAGGTGGGTCTGGTGACTCCGGGGATTCCTCAGTTCTTGTTTTGGCAAAGAATTCAGTCACACCAGATTTAGGGAGAACAAGAGATTTATTGATAGATAAAAGAAGGGACAGGGATGTTCTCTGAGCAGAGATGGCCCCTGTTGGCAGGCACAGAGGGACACTAAGTAGGTACATATGTGGGTACAGAGGGAAGGAATGGGGGTTAGCCTTTGGGCTTCTCTGCATGGTGTCTGTGGCTGATTGACTGGGGCCTGGACATCTCCCTGGCTACTGGTAGCACTGAGATTCCCACATGCCTAAACTGTCTTTTCTGGAACCAACTTTGGTCTCTTGCTTTAGCATTGTGCTCTTGTGTTGGTGTTCTGAACATTCCATTTTTAATTGGTTTTTGGGAACTCCTGGTCCCATAATTGTTTCTAAACCAGACTGAAAAATGAACTTGGGATATCTAGACTAGGGGCTTCAGGGCACCTTGTTCCTAACTAATTACCTGGTCCCATTTCCTGACTTCTGCCTTCAATAACACTTAGCAGAGACCTAGAAGGGTCTGAAGAGCAAACTGTGCATGTGTTGGGATGAACAGCAGTTGCAAAGAGAGAGGAGGGGGAGCAAAGGCCCTAGACAGCAGGTGTGTGGCTGGGTTGTTTCCAGAAGAGCAGGACATGGTTGAGGGGGGAGGGAGGGGGTTGGGGGCACGTGGGTGGAGACATCAGTTACTTCTGAGGCTGTGGGTGGAGGCTTTCCCATGCTGTTGGCAGCTCTGCCCCTTCTACCCAGTCCCTAGGCAGGAAGGAACAGGACTCGAGATACCCCAGGGGCTCAGTAACCACATGGGGCTCACAGGCAGGGCAGGCCTGTCCTTGACCTTCAGGCCTAGACCCAAATAGCAAGAAGTAGAAACTGGCCTTGCAGGGAACTGCAGAAGTATGTCCAGGCTGTTGAGCTGGTGTGGAAGGGAGCTGGCCTTGCACCCGACTCTTCATCAACCTCCACCTTTGTCTTGCTCACAGCCTTGGCGAGGATGGTGGTGATCAAGGGCTGGACGTGGGTATGAACCATTTGCCTGTGTTTCTTGTTCAGTCTTCCCAAGAATATTCATTGTCATAGGGCTAAGCATAATGACTGACTAGCAAGAAGCCCAGACTGCCCAGCGCGATGAAAACACCTCCTCTCCAGTCCAGTTGGCTCAGTCTGCAGAGACTGTAGGTCCCTGTCTGGGTCGGGGGCGTGTTCAATCCACTCCCTTTGAATAAATGAATTTTCTTCTCATAGCCAGTCAGGTGAACTTCTTTTCTATCATCTTAGAGAATCACCTGTGTCTTGGATTTTAAGTAGATGGCTCCATGGCACAAAGCCCACAAGAAGCAGAGGTTGGCTGTGCACTGAGGTCTCCGTCTCTCAGCCAGTCAGACGTGTTCTGCTCCCGGATCTCCTGGTCCTGGGCTCAGTGGTGGCTCAGTAGGAGGGGAACACGGAAAATCAGGGACTCCCTGCTTCCCATGGGTGACCATTTAGCCTTTTAGCTCTGACTTCTTTCTTTGTATTAGTAAGCAGGTGATGCTGGCAACGGCAGCCTGTGGAATCCTCGAGAAGGTAGTAGGAGTGTATATCTGATGTCTGTAAATGACAACTCCCCAGCCAGTATAAAGGGGATGGTATTCTTTTAAAGTGCCTACTGTTAATAAGCATGAAGAATTGTGGTAAGTCGGAAGACAAATATTACTGAATGTGGAAAGACTTTAGAATCTTTAGAGGGCTTAGCCTTTTTTTTTCTGTGGAGGATCAGATAATAAATGTGTTCACCTTTTTGACATGTAAGGTCTCTGCAGCTCCTTCATGCTGATGTTGACTGCAGTGTAAAGTCAGCCCAGAGTTATGCAACTAAATGGGCGGAGCGTGTTCCAGTGTTTACACTTCAGTGAGAGCAAGTGGGGGCTTGTAAATTGCTGACTGCTGTTTTATACCATCACATGATCGAGAAGGACATATGTCTACACATGACTGAGCAGGACATGTGTCTACACGTGATTGAGTAGGGTATATGTACACATGTGTGCAAGTGCTTTAGATTTTGCACAGTAGATAATCTCCTCAGGCAACCACTTTCAGAGGACAGTCTAGGGCATGAGGGGACAATGAATATGCTTAGTTGCTTGTATGACCAATAAGCTCCTGAAAAACCTTGCAGATTGAAGAAGCATTGACTCAGCCGTCTGGTAGACCTGGTTTTTTCCAAACACACATTCCAATTTTGTCCTCCTTGGCCATGTGATTGTTTTGGTCCTGCCTCTATGTCCAGGCATGCTATAGGCATTTTCATTTGGGCTACTCTCATCCTAAGTATCTGTGTTCTCAACAACCTCGATGTGGGGTAAGTCATTAAGTAAATATGCATCTCTCCTTCCCTATATTCATATATGTTGCTAGAGCATTTTTCAAAGATTATGGAAATGGTCATTTCAGCCAGCTTTTCATTCTTATTTAGCTTTCCTGGAAGTGGGTTTTTGTCTCTTCCTCTGATGTTGACTCAGCCAGTGACTGCTCACAGTGTTTGTAACACAACTTCCGGTGTGTGTCTCATGGTGAGACCCTTCAGCAGCATAGGAGGAGGTGTTTGTGCAAGGTCATATTTAGTGTACACAAAGTGAAGATGATGATTACTCACATGGGTGTCTTGCTCTTAAGAGCCTTAGTGAATCGAGAACATTTCCTTTTTTAATAATTGACCCGTTCAATCTAATACCACCCCCAATCCCACCCTCATATTCGCCATATTCTGGTGAATTTGTATTCTTAATGATAGAGTGCTCCTTAAAGGCAATGAAAAGTTATCTGAAAGGCAGGGGTAAAAGGTGATAAGAGACAACTAACTTCCTAATAATTTTCATGCTGAGATGTTACCTTCTGAATATGTGTCTGTATGTAACTAGACAGTTCTGTTGGATTAAGATTTTTTTTGGCATTGATGATATTCAAAATTATCTATCTTTTCCTGAGTATTTTCTTAAAACTATTTGTTAAAACCAAGGCTTAACCAATTAATGACGATACATCCATGCAGCAGTATATTAGGTTTTTTTTCATATGAATGAACATGTCTTATATTGATAATATTCAAAACAATTTATTTTTCCTGAGCATGTTCTTAGAAACAGTTAGCTGGTAATGGTTAAAGTCAATGCTTAATGAATGAATGAGCTAGGATATCTACCTAAGGTGGAATACTACTCAGCAATAATGAACGAACTGTTGCCATAGACAATACTTGGATGGATTTCAAAGACTTTGTGCTGAGGGACAGAAGCCAGTGTCAAAAAGTTGTCATACTGCTTATCAAGACTGCTTGATGTGGTGTCTGGAAAGGTGAAGCTGGGATGAGTGACCATCAGTGGTTGCCAAGCCTTGGGGCCCAGGACCACCTGGCCACGAGAGTTTCTTGGATGATGGGACCTTCCTGTGTCCTGACTCTGCCAGTAGTTACACACACATACACATGTGTGCAAAGCCATGACACTGTACACATTATCAAAGGTCAATGAGTTAGCTTTATTCAAAAGTAAAATTAAAACCAAAATTCTTAAGACTTATGAGAGCATCCAAAAAATGATGGAATTTTCTAGTCTTGTAATGGTAGTGGGATACCAGGGATTCCTGGTGGGAAAAGTATGCTCTTTTTAATGAAAACTCACTGATATATCACAAGGTCTACAGAGAAGCTGAGAGTAATGTACTTCTACTCCGTGGGCAGAACTGTGGCTCAGTGCTGAGTGGAGAGATGGCCCCGCAGCTGTCACTCAGTGGCCCTGTGTGGGTGTCACTTCTCTTCTTTCGGGTGATCACTCTCCTTCTGTGGTGTGAATAGATAGTGTGTGACAGTACAGTGGCTGGGGGGACCATAACTTTAAGTTCTGTGACTTTCTGTGAGTAATACCAGCCATAATGTGGTATTAATGTTCTTCACATTTAATTTCCACGTTGTTGTAAGTGGAAGACTTATCACACATTTGAATCAAAGCGCTGTGTGTGTTTTTGATGACTTGCAAATGGTGGGGGTTATGGAGAATAATTTTGTCACTTCATTAGTGTCATGTATTAATTAAGTGGGGCTCATTGGGAACACAGGTATCGTTCATCTTCCGGAAGGGGATGCTCTCCGCCACCCTCCCATCTGCTCTTCCAACTGACAGTAAGACGATTTTGGGCACCGAGGCCCTCAGGTGCTCTGAGCAGAGTTCCTGCACCCCGCACTTAGAGTCTTGCAGAATTGCCTTTGAACAAGACTGGAAAAGGGGAGTCCTGGTTAATCAAACCGGACTGACGGGGGGGTGGTGTTGGGGCTGCAGGGGGGACGGAGAGGTCACTGTTGGCCTTGATGGGGTCAATCTAGCTCTTTGTCTTTGTGAGTCAGTCAGGAGAGGGACAGCCGAGCTTCGGGATATAACTGTACTGCACGGAAGGAAATGAGCCGAAGCTGAAGAAGGGTCTGAGTGTTGTCTTCAGCTCACCATGGAGGTACAAGAACATGTAGGTGGGGTGTTCTGCAGGCCCCTGCTCTCAAAGGGAAGTGTTTTGGGTCCTGTTCAAGGCTGAGGTTGGCTGTTCAATCATGTGGAATCACTTTCTGGGTGTTTGAGGCACATTTGAATCAGGAAACAGATCCTCACTACTCCAGAGTCATTGGTTCCTAGTCTGCATTTCCTACTTTGGGGTTGGTGGCTGCCCAGGCCGTGAAAGTCGAGGTTTGACGAAGGTGTCAGGTATTGTCAGAAGCATCTCTTACCTGAGGACAAGCTTGTGTCGCTGGCTTCTGAGCTGCCATGTCCCTGTGTTGGTGGGGACTTGGGCCAGCCGGAGGCTCCTGTTCTCCTGCTGAGTCAGGCTTCAGTGCCCAGATCTGGCACATGTGCAGGCCACAGCCACAGCCTGCCCGAGATGCCCACCAGAGGCCAGGAGAGCATGGCCTTTGCTATTCCTGTGCTGTTTCAAAGCAGAGTTCTCTCTTCTGTGTCCTTGCAGAAGCCCTGCGGGGGTGTGGACCTGAACTCGGTGGCACCATCCCAGCCCCTGGAAGAAGCCGTGGTGAGTGAGTGGCTCTGACAGCGCCTGTCCCCGCTTCAGCCCAGAGCCGGACCTGTGTGTCTGCAGCTCATTTCTAGTGAACGCAGGGAGATGCTGCCTGCAAAGACAGGCCTGGCAATGAGAACTGGAAAAGATCCATTCAGGGCCTATTGAGTTTTCCGACTAGGATGGAGACTTCTAAAAATGTGGAGCAGCTGTGGAGTAGAGTGAGGTGTGAGGGAGAGGAACCCATTTTGGAGAGCGTTGCCATGTGGCCAGGACACTTTCACACCAGACTGGCTACCAGGGTGACTTAGCCATGGAATGTCCAGTATGTGGACAATACATTGTCTTATCTGTTTGGAAAGACAGCAATTGAAAGTAATTCAAATCTTGCATTTGATGTCTTTAATAGAAATAGCTGTTATGAGCAAGACCGGGCACTTCCTGACCCTCTTTGTGACTGGTAGCACCCTGGGGCCGGCTCTCTGCTTGCAGATTGGGGGCGGTGGACGATGAGGGGGAGAGAGTAATGTGGGGGAGACGATGAGGGGGAGAGAGTGGCTCAGGAAAGAGCGGGCTGTGGTGGAGATCCCTGGCATCCCATGCAGCCCAGGGGTTCATGCTGAGCAACCAGGCAGCTCAGGGGCTTACAAGCCGGGATGGACATAAAGGAACGTTCTGGGTCCTCATGGAGTTGGTGGGGCTCATGGGGGAGGCGAGGGTGGGACTAAGCTTGGGCTTAGCAGTGCAGGCACATGCTGGTGAGGTCTCGTCCCACAGGGCGCCCGCCTGGCTCCTCCTGCGCCCGCCTGAGCTGCAGAATAGGGGCTCAGCAGGCGATGGACGAGCTGAAGGGAGTCGGAGGCTGGCAAAGCGCTTGGCTCCAGGCCCTTGGTGCCATGGCTGCCTCCGAAGCTCAGTAAAGTCCGGCGGGAGCAGAAGCAACTTGGTAACCACACAGGGCCGGCTGTCAGCGTGGGGGGACGTGGCGTCCATCGGCTGCTGCCACCTCCCCTTGCCCGAGGAGACGTCCCTGGTGCAGATGCGCTGGCTGACTTGCCTATCCTTCGCGCAGGTGCTCGGCGAGGCCGGCGATGGCGTGAGCAACCTGCCCAGCCCGTTCGCCTACCTGCTCACCATCCACCTGAAGGAAGGCAGGAACCTGGTCATCCGAGATCGCTGCGGTAAGTGCCCGCCCTGCGTGGGGCCTGCTTGCCTCTGCCCTTGCCTGAGTTTGCCAGCCACTGCTGACCGTCTGACTGGTAGCGCACAGGCGCCCCGCTCAGCTTGTGCAGGTTGCTGGGCCTTTACTCAGTGACGGCCATCATCTCGTGGAGTTTTTCACATAAAGACCTTCAGAGGTTTTGCCTTTCACAGGACACAACCTCTTCTGTTTCTCCACTATGGTCTTTTTTCAATTATTTTGTTTTGTTTTGGTCAGCAGGAGCCTTTTCATTCTACAGGACGTTGTTTTTCTGCAGCTCTTTGACTGGTTTCTCCTGTTGCTTCCCGTCTCTGTTTTGGGAATCCCAGGAGGTGAAGTCAGTGCCTGGCCCTGGCCCTGCCTTCTGCATCCCTCGCTTCCCTGCTTCCTTCTGCTGCTTCACGCGCCTTTCAGCAGAATCCCTCAGGCGGACCCCGGCGTGCTCATTTCTCCTCAACTGCGGCATTGTGCTTTCTGTTCAGCTACCCTGTTGCCTTTTTTTTTTTTTTTAAAGATTTATTTATTTGTGCATACAGAACTGGGGTGCAGGCCAGAGGCTCAGGGGCGGCGAGAGGCTTCACCAGAGACAGAGTGGGGAGCAGAACAGGCAGATCGACGAAGTCCACTGCTGAGGGGAGCAGCGGGCGGGTCAGGAGAGGTCTGCCGCGCCATGTGGTCACCTCCGGGCAGGCGGGAATCGAACTCATGAGGAAGTGGCTTTAGATTCTCAGTGCTGTGCTTTATCCTGCAGCGCCACTAGGGAGGGCCTACCCTGTTGCCTTTTTAAAATTGTTTTCGACTGCCTCTTGCTGTGTCACGAGGAGAGGAAGCCCACGCTTTCTGCAAGTACTCATGAGCAAGCACAGCTCCCGCTGCGTGTCTTGTCCCTTGGACACGGACGCCAGTGTGCTGGGCTTGCGTCCGTCACTTCGTTTGCAGGGCTGCATTCTGCATCTGTGGGTGCTGCTTTCCGCGCCTGCTCCCTGTGCGAGGGGACTGGGCTGGCAGCTGGGCAGGGCCCTTCTGTGCCTCAGGCTCCTCTCTGGGCCCCGTGGTCTCATCCTCACTGTGCACGGCCTTCCCCCTGGCGTGCTCCGCACTCCTGCTGGCAGGCAGGTGCCTCCGCTCCTCGCTCTCCTCTGCTCAGCGTGGGGAGGGCACAGTGGGCCCACTGGATGCTCAGCAGACGCTGCAGCCTGGCCCAGCCCCGCCGCCTGCACCTGCCGCCTTCTGCTCCCCTACCCCACCTGTGTCCCAGAAACCTTTTTGCTGATTTTCTGTCAGGTTCAGACTGGGTTCTCTCCCCTGGCTCGTCCCATATCATGGGCTTCTATCTTTCTGTCTTGCATACAAAGGCCACCTGACTTTTATAAAGAAAAAAAAAATTCTCTCTGGTCTTTTTGAAATTTCTCAGATGTAGCATTTCACAGTCATAAAAAAAATCTCATTTTTCTGCTTTTTGGTAAATAGTGTGCTCTGTCAAAGTCACCCTGTCTTATCTGTCAGTGGTGCAACTTCTTGGGTTCCCTGACGGTGTTCAGTTTAGCCGATGCCTGTCCGATGTATTTGAAAGATCTGGGGGACGGTCGCATTCCCTATGTGACAGAGCACCGAAGGCAGGGCCATCAGCCAGTGCCAGGTGACTGCACAAGTTGTCTGTGACAACCTGTTTGGAGATGGAAACGTGCTCCCTAGAGTGTGTTAATCTTACTGTGGAGAAAGTGCTCAGAGCTGCTCAAAAGCCCGTTCGATTTTGAGTTGTGTAACTTGTCTAATACTGTGTCCCCTAAGGGCTGTGTCCAGGCTCCCGGTCCCTTCCTCCAGCAGCTTCTCCTTCACTGGTTTCCCATCTTTGCTGGATCCTTCTCCCTAATTGCCAAGATTTATCTGCCCGCTCGACATATGCCCCGTAATTAGAGCAGAGTCTGTATTGCTGTAGTAGTGTGATGACTTTAGTAGCTGATGACGAAATACCCGCTCACATGAGAAATGACCAAAAAGTCAGGACTCACCTGCGCTTGCTCACACCGCCTGGTTTTAGAGCTAAAGGAGAGACTGAGCTTCCATCTCAGCCCTGGGCATCTGTACCTCATTGCTCCAGAGTGAAAACATCAGTCGCCCACTGGTCTTGATTTTGTGCGAACCTATTTTAACTGGAATACAATCCCCCGATCAGGAGTCTAGTCAGAAACTCTCAGAGGTTGTTTTGGTAACCACAGTAACCTTTCCGTCTGTTGGCGTCTACCTGTTGGGAACAGTCACTCCTGAATCCTGTTCTGTAGGGTTCCCTTTCCGTCCTGCAGCTAGTCTGATCAAGACTGTGATCAGCTGTGGAGCCACTCAAGGCTGAGGAGTGGGGGGGGCGGAGGGGCCCACGGGTGGAGGCTGGGGGGGCCTTGTGCTCCGTCTGTCTCCTTCTCCGTCTGCCTGCCGTGAGGGCGCGCATCAAAGTGCTCACTGGAGCCGACGCTGCCTTCGCATTTCACCCCGGGACACCCACAGGACCAGTAATTCCCACTCAAACTTGGGCTTATGCACATCACTGCCCGCCTCAGTTTCTGGCTCAGCAGGTTTAGGGCGCAGCCTGAGAATTTGAATTTCCAACAAGTCCCCAGGAAATTCTTTTGGCTGCTGGTACAAGAACCCCGGTTGTTGTAGCCATTGCTCTAGGCAGCCTCTCTCCACAGTGGGTGCGGGGCAGGGGCACCTGAGAAGACATATTTACTCCCCTGCAGGTAGAATTTCCATCCCCGTCAGCCGCAGCTGTTTTGGGTGCTGTACCTTAGTCCGTGGCTCCTCTCCAGCGTCAGCCTCAGGCTCTCTTTGATTTGCATTATCTGAGCATCGTTTAACTGGGTGTTTGCCCAATGAGCAGAATTAGGCGCAGAGTGTGATATACCAAGGTGATGGATACAGGATCATTTTTAAATTTATCTAGGAATTGCTATCACCCAGCAGCCTGGGTGATGGTGAAATGAGGAGATTTGGACTTGATCTTCTGCTTCTTGACTGGTGACCTCTCTGAAGGTTAACTTACTCCTCTGGAAAATGGGCATAATGTCAGTGCCTTGGAATGTAATTGTAAGAATTAAAACAACAACAAGAGTGTATATAACAGCAGTCAGTAAATTATAGCATGTTACCATAGCAACAATGAACATACATGGCCCGCTTTCCTGCTGCCAGTGCAGAGCTGGCTCCTGTAATCCATGTCAATTTCCCCTTCATGATCTTGAGCATTTGACCTTCAGCTTGTGTCAGCCAGTCAGGACCCCTGTGCTCTTCACCGGTGTCTCTATTTTATTTCCCTTATATGCAACCCTATACCTAATATTTAAGTATCAAATATAATAGAGCAAAGTGATCCAGTGTTAATTTTCCCTTATGACAAGTATTATCTCGAAGAGTGGAAATGTGTTGTGCTTTTGACCATAGAATTGCTACTTTCAGATATTTAACTCAGTTGCTCAGTCTCTGTTTTTTAATTTGGGGGTGGGAGGGTGGATGTCAACTTTTGATGAATCATTCTCTGCTACAGAAGAAGTTCAGTGTTTTCTTTCAATTGTTACGTAATCACCACTGCTTATATAACTTTCCATCTAGAACGTGGGTTGGCAAACTTTCTGTACAAGGCTGAAAGTAAATATTTTTGGGTTTATGGGCCATGCAGGCTCTGTTGCAGCTACTCAGCTCTGTGGAGTAATACAATGAAATGTAAACTAGTGGACATGACTGTATCCCAGTGCAAGTTTATTTACAGAAACCTGCCGTAGGCTGGATCTGACCCACCGGGCAGGACTTACCAACCTCTGTCTAGTATTATGATCCACTGTTGGATTTTTATTCCAAGGAACTGCTGTTTACAGCAGAAACATAAAAACTTTATCTAGAATAAAGAAGGTATATAGTCAGAAAGTGAACAAGTTTTGAAGTGTCAACTGATGTTTCTCAGAAGCATTTTAGTAACATGACATAAAATAATGCAGAAAATCTGGAGGTAGTGGATGGAAAAGGACAGTTCATTTCTTTGTTTCCACCTACCCGTCAAAGTTGAAGGTGTCAGGAAAAGAACTCGGATGCACCTCCAGAAAGGATATTAAAAGGAGTATGTCAGGTGTAAGGCTCAGAAACTTGGCCCATCGGGAAAGTCCTTGGGAAAGGAGGAGCTTGTCAGAAATCAGGGAGCCCATCGGTGGGGTGCAGATCGCCAGGTGCTGGGAGGTGAGCTTCCTCGGACAAAAACTTCTGTGGACATTTTACCACTTTTCTCGTGTGGAGGGCTCAAACTCAGGGCTGGAGAGTAGACAGAGTGGAGAGTAGAACAGGCAAGTCTACTGAAAGCCACTGCTGAGGGGAGCAGCGGGTCCTGGCCTGGGATCTGGGATCAAACTCAGTTCACAGTGGTAGTAGTGCTGAGACTTAACCCCTGCACCACCAGGGAGGCCTCGTTGTGCACGTCTTTATCCTTGGTTGTGCATATCTGTGTGTGTGTGTATGTGTGTGTGTATGAACTGAATCGCTCCCTCCAAAAACCTACAGGTCATCAGAAGGAGCTACCACCGGGGTGACTAAATGCTGTGAACATGCCCCTGCACCCCAGATCTAAGCACAGAGTCAGGGAAGCCCAGAGGACTTTGTTAGGTGCCTCTGGAAGGGTGGTCATGTCCCAGTCAGTCAAGACTTTGCAGCTGCTCCCAGACGTACCCAGCAGGGGACCTCAGTGCTCTCAGCTCTCAGGTCACCACGTGTGTCTCTGCGAAGGAGCCGCCTGAACTCCTGGACGCTGTGCAGGAACGGCTGCGAGCTTGCCCAGGGAGCCACTTCTAACACCACGGCCTGCCCAGGCACAGCCAGTCCGCAGGTCTCTGTCTAACCCTCCCCCGGCCCAATTCTTATCTTCCTTTACTGTCTTCTTCCCCTTTCCTCACCCCTACGCCTTCTTTTTACTCTTTTATAGTCCCCATTTCCTTCCACTTCCTC